AAGGGTTACTTTGTTCTATTTCTAAACGCATGGAACAGGTACGTCAAACATTTACGAACGCTGACATTCTTACATACTAGTACAACATACACTTTGTAACATTTTACGAACGCAGCCCAGTCTGATCCTTAACTCATAGAAAGTACAGCTTTTTCAAATGCTTTCGCTATTCCTTAGCAGAACGAAGCGCTGAACATTGTGACATTTTCAGCATAACATAACATTCACATTTTAAGAAATATGACCATATATCCAGCAGCACTTTTTACGACTTACACATACAATATTTCCCGTTTCGCCACAGTACATCCCATTTTATGGGCCATTGGGATATCCGTGGAATAAAAGCGTAATTCGACATTTTTCGAGTGTGGTAAAACAAAAGGCGACGGAGATTACAGGGGTGCACCGGCCCCTGGAGTATAATGAAGACTCAACGCACTCTAACGTCAAAGGCGGATCAAAGGGCGGATGTTTGAGGTCATTTGACCTCATCCAAGCCCGGGAAATTCTCGTAGTAATGCTTAAATCTTCCTGTCACATTGAAACAAAAAATGCAAAAATGCCTGAATTTGTCCAGTCGGCCGAGAACGCAGTGACAGAGAATTGCCTTGCTGCAGACTCATTTAGTGATGACGTCACATTACACCAGCCACCTTCACCACCACAGAGCGATGCGACTGCAGCGAACGCTTTGCTCTATTGACAAACGTTGCTCTGCTCTGTACCTACGATTTATGATAAAAATAGGTAGAAAACAAATACTGTATTGTACGTAGGTGTAAAAAGCTCCAAAAAGGATTTCTCCTTGTGCCAAAAGATAAAAGGATCAGAAGGAATTGGTGTAGGGTAATTAATAGGGACGCTAAAATGCATCTTACTGAAATATCCTTGTACTGCTGAGAATCTCATTTTGATGTAAGCACTTAGGCTTTTAGTCAATATGCTATGAATGATCATAATAATTTGTATTAGTGTGCATGCCTACTGTGATAGAAAAATAACCAGAACGATGATTGATTTGATTATTATACAGAGTGTTCCATAATTATTGCGACAAAATGATAGGGGTTGTAGAGGGCATCAAAATGAACAATTTTGCCTTATAAACCCCTGTTCGGAAATATGCCGTTTGGGATGCAGCAAAAAAAAAGATCAGTTTCTTGAAACAGCTTACCTACAGTAATTGCTCAAAGTGTCCTCCACCTTGCTCAATACACAGCTGTGCACGATTGTTCAATGATCGGCGAACTCTGTGGCATACCCCCGGTTTGTCCTGAACATGTGCGGACGCGGCCATCACTCTTCCCAGTAGCTCTTGTTGGTTGGGAACAGTAGTTTCGTACACTAAGGGCACGTTTACATCGAGCGCGCTTCGCTTGGAGCTGTGCGCCTCACTTCATGTCAAGCGAACCTCTATGCGTTCGGGTTCATTCATATCGGAGGCGCTTCGCTTTTCATACCTCGACTGTTATTAAAACACACTTTATATTTAAAGACGCATTTTCCAAGCATTTCACCATGGCTCCTTCACGAGTTAAGAAGATATTACTACTCGAAAGTATTGCGTTGAAAGTGAATAGAAAAAAACTAAAACGATCGTGGGTGCATGAGATTAATATATGTAGGAAATCGTTCGGAGAATTCTATCACCTCTATCGAGATGCCAGAAAATATCCAGAAAAATTTTATGAATACTTGAGGATGTCAAAGGAATCTTTCGACCTTCTCCTAAGCCATTTGGATCCTTATTTATGTGGGATTGGAACCAATTTCCGTGAAAGGATTTCAGCAGAACAACGTTTGGTTATAACATTGAGGTAAGCCAAAATAAAATTATAGTGTTTATGAAAAACTGAGTTTTATTTTATTAAAAAATACATTTGTCCGAATAAAAATGTTACGCGTTATATCCTGAAAAAAAACTTCGCATAGGGGTGTCCAATTCACTACCTTCAGATACATTGTGTGTGGTCGGATCCGGATGTGTTGACTGTATCGGTATGTGATGATGGTATGTATGATTGTCCGAAGCGGAACTTGAGGGAGCGGGGAAGGTAAAGACACGTGCCGGAGGTTGTCCACAAACATTTTGTGAAACTTCACTTTCATGCTCCTCAACTTGCTGAAGAAGCAGTTCCTGAAACTTTAATCTTAGACGTAATCTTCTTGAAGCAGGAAGACTCTTCATGTATGGCAAAAGACTCTTTAGGAACAAAAGATCATCATCATTTTCTTTAAGTGATTCAGACTCTAGGAGCTCAAGTTTCCGTTTTTCTAACATTATTAGTTCGCTATTGTCGTTTTCTGTTGCCAGTTGCTTCTTTCGCTTCTGCGCCCCCTTCCGAGTTTCAGAAGTAGAAGATAATCGGCTTGCAGACCTTGAAGGTGCTTGACTGCTGGTCGATGGCGGTGACAAAACATTGTCAGAATCTTGCGACTCTACGTCCTGTATATCATTATATTCTAAGTCAATATCTTCTGTGACCCTTTCCGCTTCTATATTTGCATCCCTCAGTGGGGTTTGCAGATGGTCTTTTAAAAATAACAAAAGAGAATAATATTGCCAAGGACTTGCTACAGCTTCATTTGCTCCACTGCCTGATCTGGGTTTTTCTAACTTTTTTGTTTCTCTGTTAAAGTAGTCCCTCAAGTATTTCCATTTATTTTTAACAGTTTGAACTGAAACAAAAATTGCTATTAACACCAAGCATATTTTATGTATGTTTGTTGCAGATTTCTTGCTACTGGAGAATCCTATCGATCCCTAGCTCTACACTTCAGATTGGGGGTGGCAACAGTTTCAAATATTGTAAATCATACATGCATGGTAATATGGGATACCATGAAAAGTGATTACCTACCAAAACCTACACAAGCAACGTGGCACAATAAATCACAACAATATTGGACCAAATGGAATTTTCCAAATTGCATAGGCAGTATTGACGGCAAACATATTGAAGTTAAATGTCCCTCCAATACCGGATCTCTATACTATAATTATAAGCAATATTTTTCAATATTACTTCAAGCCCTAGTTGATGCTGACTGTAAATTAATTGCGGTTGATATTGGGAGTTTTGGACGCCAAAGCGATGGAGGAAATTTTAGGTCCTCGTCGCTTTTTCGAGCATTAGACAGAAAAGAGCTTGACGTCCCACCTGATCAATGCTTACCACAAACAAATATAAAAGCCCCATTGGTTATAGTAGGCGATGAAGCTTACCCTCTGCTTCCATACCTAATGAGGCCATATCCTAGAAGAAATTTAGATAATTCAAAAAGAATTTTTAATTATCGTCTCTCCAGAGCCCGGCGATGTGCTGAATGCGCATTTGGCATAATGAGTGGCAAATGGCGAATTTTACTAAAACCTATCGAAACAAAAATTGAGACAGCTATAAATATTGTAAAGGCCATTTGTATTTTGCACAATTTTGTTATAGAACAGGAGGGATTTAAGACAAATAAGGAATGTCAGACGGGCTTTAGCGGCGATATTAATCCGAGTACCTACACACACTCCCAGTATCGCTTTTCCGAAGATGCAAAGAGAACCAGAGAAATATTAACAAATTATTTTGTGACTACTGGTGCAGTTGAGTGGCAGAATCAATTTTCTTTCGTACAATAAATGTATTATATAGTATTATCTTTGAGTTTCTATTCCCTAATTATTTTGTTCTTTAACTACTCTGCCTTAAAAATTAAAACTGCTACTACCTCATACACACGATGGTTTATACAGATGACGTATCGCAAACCACTTATACATAGAATAAAAACACGAATACGCCCCTATACATGGAAACCAAAACCGATGCAAAAATACGGACAACAAAAAGAAGACATCGACACATTCTAAAAGTTGATATATTATATCCATCCCTAGTTAAAACATAATATGAACTCACCATCTTTTCCAACTTCGTCTCCTATTTCTTTCCACATTTTTTGTAACGCGTATACATTTTTATGCAACGCATGCTTCGGATTCCATATTGCCTCTCGTTTAAAAACGGCGGTGATAATTTCTTCTTCCATTGTGTTTATGCAGATAACCCTCGGAGTTGTCTGAACAAGCGAGGCAAAACGCAACGCAAAACCAACACATCGCGTTTTCCACCGCTCCGCATAGTATAACGTAAGGCACAGCGCGTAGCGCCATGCGCGCGGTCTGAACACATTCATTTAAAGCTGTGTTGTCGTTCCTCTCGCTTCCTACTGGGCTGTAAAGCAAAGCGCACAGCTCCAAGCGAAGCGCGTTTGATGTAAACGTGCACTAAGTGCACGTTTACATCAAACGCGCTTCGCTTGGAGCTGTGCGCTTTGCTTTACAGCCCAGTAGGAAGCGAGAGGAACGACAACACAGCTTTAAATGAATGTGTTCAGACCGCGCGCATGGCGCTACGCGCTGTGCCTTACGTTATACTATGCGGAGCGGTGGAAAACGCGATGTGTTGGTTTTGCGTTGCGTTTTGCCTCGCTTGTTCAGACAACTCCGAGGGTTATCTGCATAAACACAATGGAAGAAGAAATTATCACCGCCGTTTTTAAACGAGAGGCAATATGGAATCCGAAGCATGCGTTGCATAAAAATGTATACGCGTTACAAAAAATGTGGAAAGAAATAGGAGACGAAGTTGGAAAAGATGGTGAGTTCATATTATGTTTTAACTAGGGATGGATATAATATATCAACTTTTAGAATGTGTCGATGTCTTCTTTTTGTTGTCCGTATTTTTGCATCGGTTTTGGTTTCCATGTATAGGGGCGTATTCGTGTTTTTATTCTATGTATAAGTGGTTTGCGATACGTCATCTGTATAAACCATCGTGTGTATGAGGTAGTAGCAGTTTTAATTTTTAAGGCAGAGTAGTTAAAGAACAAAATAATTAGGGAATAGAAACTCAAAGATAATACTATATAATACATTTATTGTACGAAAGAAAATTGATTCTGCCACTCAACTGCACCAGTAGTCACAAAATAATTTGTTAATATTTCTCTGGTTCTCTTTGCATCTTCGGAAAAGCGATACTGGGAGTGTGTGTAGGTACTCGGATTAATATCGCCGCTAAAGCCCGTCTGACATTCCTTATTTGTCTTAAATCCCTCCTGTTCTATAACAAAATTGTGCAAAATACAAATGGCCTTTACAATATTTATAGCTGTCTCAATTTTTGTTTCGATAGGTTTTAGTAAAATTCGCCATTTGCCACTCATTATGCCAAATGCGCATTCAGCACATCGCCGGGCTCTGGAGAGACGATAATTAAAAATTCTTTTTGAATTATCTAAATTTCTTCTAGGATATGGCCTCATTAGGTATGGAAGCAGAGGGTAAGCTTCATCGCCTACTATAACCAATGGGGCTTTTATATTTGTTTGTGGTAAGCATTGATCAGGTGGGACGTCAAGCTCTTTTCTGTCTAATGCTCGAAAAAGCGACGAGGACCTAAAATTTCCTCCATCGCTTTGGCGTCCAAAACTCCCAATATCAACCGCAATTAATTTACAGTCAGCATCAACTAGGGCTTGAAGTAATATTGAAAAATATTGCTTATAATTATAGTATAGAGATCCGGTATTGGAGGGACATTTAACTTCAATATGTTTGCCGTCAATACTGCCTATGCAATTTGGAAAATTCCATTTGGTCCAATATTGTTGTGATTTATTGTGCCACGTTGCTTGTGTAGGTTTTGGTAGGTAATCACTTTTCATGGTATCCCATATTACCATGCATGTATGATTTACAATATTTGAAACTGTTGCCACCCCCAATCTGAAGTGTAGAGCTAGGGATCGATAGGATTCTCCAGTAGCAAGAAATCTGCAACAAACATACATAAAATATGCTTGGTGTTAATAGCAATTTTTGTTTCAGTTCAAACTGTTAAAAATAAATGGAAATACTTGAGGGACTACTTTAACAGAGAAACAAAAAAGTTAGAAAAACCCAGATCAGGCAGTGGAGCAAATGAAGCTGTAGCAAGTCCTTGGCAATATTATTCTCTTTTGTTATTTTTAAAAGACCATCTGCAAACCCCACTGAGGGATGCAAATATAGAAGCGGAAAGGGTCACAGAAGATATTGACTTAGAATATAATGATATACAGGACGTAGAGTCGCAAGATTCTGACAATGTTTTGTCACCGCCATCGACCAGCAGTCAAGCACCTTCAAGGTCTGCAAGCCGATTATCTTCTACTTCTGAAACTCGGAAGGGGGCGCAGAAGCGAAAGAAGCAACTGGCAACAGAAAACGACAATAGCGAACTAATAATGTTAGAAAAACGGAAACTTGAGCTCCTAGAGTCTGAATCACTTAAAGAAAATGATGATGATCTTTTGTTCCTAAAGAGTCTTTTGCCATACATGAAGAGTCTTCCTGCTTCAAGAAGATTACGTCTAAGATTAAAGTTTCAGGAACTGCTTCTTCAGCAAGTTGAGGAGCATGAAAGTGAAGTTTCACAAAATGTTTGTGGACAACCTCCGGCACGTGTCTTTACCTTCCCCGCTCCCTCAAGTTCCGCTTCGGACAATCATACATACCATCATCACATACCGATACAGTCAACACATCCGGATCCGACCACACACAATGTATCTGAAGGTAGTGAATTGGACACCCCTATGCGAAGTTTTTTTTCAGGATATAACGCGTAACATTTTTATTCGGACAAATGTATTTTTTAATAAAATAAAACTCAGTTTTTCATAAACACTATAATTTTATTTTGGCTTACCTCAATGTTATAACCAAACGTTGTTCTGCTGAAATCCTTTCACGGAAATTGGTTCCAATCCCACATAAATAAGGATCCAAATGGCTTAGGAGAAGGTCGAAAGATTCCTTTGACATCCTCAAGTATTCATAAAATTTTTCTGGATATTTTCTGGCATCTCGATAGAGGTGATAGAATTCTCCGAACGATTTCCTACATATATTAATCTCATGCACCCACGATCGTTTTAGTTTTTTTCTATTCACTTTCAACGCAATACTTTCGAGTAGTAATATCTTCTTAACTCGTGAAGGAGCCATGGTGAAATGCTTGGAAAATGCGTCTTTAAATATAAAGTGTGTTTTAATAACAGTCGAGGTATGAAAAGCGAAGCGCCTCCGATATGAATGAACCCGAACGCATAGAGGTTCGCTTGACATGAAGTGAGGCGCACAGCTCCAAGCGAAGCGCGCTCGATGTAAACGTGCCCTAAAGCTTTCAGATGGCCCCAGAGAAAATAATCCAGTGGGGTCAGGTCGGGTGACCGCGCAGGCCAAGGCACAGGGCCACCTCGGCCTATCCACCTATTTGTCGTCCAAATACTGCCGCACTTGTAAAGAAAAGTGGGCTGGAGCGCCATCGTGTTGAAACCACGTGTTGGCTCTTATGTTCAGTGGCACATTTTCTAATAGTTCCGGTAGCACATGCTGTAAGAATCGACCATAAGCATGCGCATCCAAACGTGGTGGAAGCAAATATGGCCCGATGATATGCTCGTCCACAATGCCGCACCAGATGTTAATTGAAAACTATGTTGGTCTCTATGGATGGCTATGGCATGAGGGTTTTCTTCATCCCAAATGTGACTGTTACGGCTATTAAAATAACCGTCCTTTGTGAAACAGGACTCGTCAGTGAACAAAACGTAGCGACCAAAGTTTGGTTGCCTCAACTCCTGCTGCAGCATTTCATGTGCAATAGCACGCACGCTTGTACGCGGATTGGCCTCTAGTTTGACGCACCACTCAGATAAATTAAATGAATCGGTGTGGACAATTTACGATAACAAAAATGTAAACACAGCAGGCTTTTTTTTACAAATCGGCGAGACCATGAAATGTGCTAGACGAACATTTTGCAGCTGTTGAATGTTTTGTTTCTCTTAGGGTAAAATTAGCGGTAGTGCTCAAACGGCATATTTACGAACAGGGGTTTATAAGGCAAAATTGCATATTTTTATGCCCTTTACAACCCCTATCATTTTGTCGCAATAATTATGGAACACCCTGTATATACCCGAACATCATTTGTGTCGACGTAGGGAAGCATGTAGGCGTTCAGGAACCAAACAGCCTGACCAAAACTTCACAAAAGTGCATAGTCGAATGGTGTTACCTTTCAAAGTATCAGCTGTAATTATATATGGCACTGCATTACTTTACTGAGGATATGTACCTAATTCATATTTTTTCGGAAAATTCATAGTGATATGATCAATTCAAGAAAGGTTTAAGAAAGTCTATTAGAGTCCTCTCTATTTCGCATAGTAGCAGCATGTTATCAGACACCTAAGAAATTGTTAATTTGGCTGCAGCTGACCTAAACTTTGGCAATTAGGTGATACTACATAAATTATACATTGAAAAAATGTAAGAGTGTAATTTGAGCGCAGGTGACAATTTTTTCACAAGCATAGCTGCCATTTAAATGTTTTAGGAATCGATATCTAATTCTTTGGTCGAGCCTTTAAACATCTTACATGGTTTTGAGCGCGATCAAAACATTTTTGCAAACATAGCTGCTATATTAGATCCGCCATTTCGATTTTTGAAACATCGATATCAAATTCGTTATTGGCGACCCTGGAAACATTTAAATTTGAGCTAAATCTTTGCTAACAAATACGTCGAATTGAATCCGTTATTTTGATCTTTAACAATATACATACATACATATCACGTTCGTTATCAGCGACTTGAAAAATATAGAAATGATTGTTTTGGTGGAATTTTGAATCTTTCCTTTCGACCATATCTTAAGACTTTTGACCCACTGTGGCGCAGTCGCGTGTGCGTTTGTTTATAAATACTAATGCTTGTTCTACTGTAAATGTTTCGCATAATATATACAACCATTAACCATTATTATGTCCACCTTTGGAAGATTAGTGGAATCGGTACTGAGTGACGAAAAAAGGCAAACACCTACGTTTGTTTATTAGAATTCAACAATTTTTTTACATGTCCACTTATTTTGCAATGAACAACAAGTAATAAAATGGTCAGGTTTTGTACATTTACGGTATCAGTTAAATGTTAAATTTAGTGTAGCTTATTGAGAAGCCTTCTTGTGATTGCTCAAAATGCCTAGAGTGCGTAGAATTCGCCGGGAGACCCAGCTAATTGACTTTGAGACGGATCGAATTGTCGGGTTGCGTGAAGCCGGTCTATGGATAAGATTTTAGGAGGACCGACAGATCCTTATGCAGTATACTGCACTGTGAACGGGCGTGGACTCAGGAAGGACGAGGGCAGCGAGCGAGGGGTTCTGGACGTCCCAGAGGGACCATAGAGCGACAAGACCGCCGGTTAAGTCTTCTGGCTATGAGAGACAGATTCATTAGTACTCGAGCCATCGCTAATCAGTGGTTTGAAGAGCATGGAAGGATGGTTGGTATGCGTACGGTATATCGCCGAATACGACAGTTTGGCTCTTTTTCTTATCGCCCGCACTTTATGTGGAGCCTCATCTTATTCCATATCTAAACACCTTCCCAAACCCCCTTTTTTCAGCAAGACAACGCCAGACCGCATGTTGCCAGAGCATCATTAGCCTTCATGGATCAACATCGCATCAACCGTTTACCTTGACCACCACGATCGCCTGACCTATCTCTAATTGAACATGTCTGGGACATGCTAGGTCGCAGGCTCTTGAATTTGCAACACCCTCCATAAACCTTAGTAGCTCTTACTTACAAAGTTACAGTAGCCTGGAATGAGATACCCCAACAGGATATCGCCCACCTTATCAGCACGATGCCCAGGCGTGTCAATGAGCGTATAAGAAACCATGGATCCTCAAACACAGTATTGAACCAGCTTTTGCAGTCAGTAGATGAATCAAGCTGAAAATTTAATAATTTCACTAGTAAGAGACACTGAACGAAAAATTATTAAAATCAGATAAACATACGTTGTTGTTTACCTCTTTTTGTCACTCAATATAATTATAATATCGCACTGCAGTCTATGCGAATATACTAACAATATGTTCAGGTTGGTCAGATCATGAATGCTATATGCAAGGGCCGTCGTGTCGACTGGCAGCGTCGGTTTCGGGGCTTCAAAGCCGTGAAACAAGCAATATTTTCCACTATAGGAAACTTCCTAATCCTGGGCTATATCTGAACTTTATATACAGTGCATGCAGACTGAATGAAGAGACGTATTTCCAAGCACTAAAAAGATGTACCAGCTACTGTAACTTTTACTAATTTTGATTTGCAGAGGCTTGAATGAATGCCCTCTCGACAGAGCTCGCCTCATCACTAAAATCATTTGGAAGCTTTTCATTTGATAAGTAGTGGACCTTAGAAGTACTAAGCTACCTCATGCTTCCCAAACAGCGCTAAGTTTGGTTATTAGTGCGAAAATATGTGACGCCTACATAAATGTACTCATTTTATTTATTAAAGTTTTCTATGAAAGAACAGCCAGATGAGTAAAAAATCAAGAAGGCCACTGTCTCGATGAAGTGTCAGCCCTGACGTGTCACCAAGAATCAGTACAACCAAGATTTAACAATGAGAGAATGACGATGTCGTTCGGAAAGCTTCCGGAGATCGATATCACAAGTAAAGTAAAGTAAAAATGTACCATCTCAAGCCTCTTCTATATGCAGAAAGCGGACGTAAAAATAAGGCAGAACTACACAGCCAGTAAAGCTGCATTTCTAACATGCACCGTGCATATGTTAAAAAGGAGCTCTAAAACTAATTTACCTGGCCTATAAGCTTTAAGGGACTGGGACAGTGAGAGGTTTAACTGAAGTCAAACACGTTTAAGGGATTTCAATATAAAAGGAAACTTTCTAGCCTTTTTAGCCTTTGGCAGTAACAAGTGCGACATAGGCTTGCGAGAGCTGGTGGATACAGGCATTTGAGAGAAGCATCTAGGGATTTCGAGCAATGGTCAGCGAGAATGCAGTGGGCTCAGTATAATGAGTATCAACTCAGTGGCCTCAGTGCTTATCTTACGCCTTTGTTACGATTTAGTTACACACATTAGCGTCTTATTCCTCTCCTGCTAATGGCTAATTTTAGATTATAAACTTAATTTTTGGAATTATATTTTCCTCATAACATGAAATGCCAATGGGCGTGCTGGCACGGCTCACGAAACTTTGCAGTTCGCAAGCTTTTAAGCCTGCGCCAGAACGCTTCTTGTGACTCAGAATGAATGTAACGGACTTGTAGTGGAGTGCATTACGTTACCATAAAGCTTGAACAAGCTGTATTTATCAGTTGTATTGGATATATATTTTGAAGGAAATTGGATCAAATACTATTAATTAGAACGACTATATCTTATTTTAGTCCCAGTTTGAGCTATGGCTTTTGGACTTTAAAAACCTAGATAACTGTGTATTTAGATTAAATGCCTCTCCACAAATACGTTTCCTTATTTTTGCTCCGCGCCAGCTCGGTGCAAGTTAGAAACGCAGCTCAAGATGTTCTGCCCTGCATAAAGCTGTCCTGTACGCCTCTACTTACAGCCGGTACCGTTACCTGGGTGTGCAAAAATAAATTAAAAGTCACCCCTGCTCTGTTTTTACGGCAGGCCAGACTGGGGAGCGGAGTGAAGGGGAAGTTAATCTCGTCGTAAAATGGCAAACGGTTGAAAAATGTTGCCCTTACTGAGAAAATGAAATTGCCATGGGAAGGAATCCAGAATTAGGTTGATTTGGTACTAAAAAAATTGTGTGGATTATACCTTTACTATTGAAGTTACGATTGCATTTCCTCTATGAAACTCAATTTTTGGCAGAAACGACACAAGAGAACTCAGCTTGGCAATATTTCCATTGCAGGTTCTGAATCGTCCGTCAGTCTGTCAGAGTGTCCGCTGATCCTTGGCCCGACTATAACTATTCCAATTTTTATGATATTTCCACACAAGGTTACTACTATGTCAAGGACAAAAAAGCTTTGTACTTTTGAAGATAGCTCAAGTGGTAGTAGAGAAAAAGATCCAAAACCGAAAAAAAAAGAATACAATAAAAATCGCTCAAATTTTGTTTTTTGACGTTCCAGAGGATGCTGATCATTTTCAGACAAGTTTT